CTGCCCGGGTCGAGCGCTGCGGCTCCGTGGACTGCGCGGGTCTCTGGTACCTGCAGCCGGCGGAGCAGGTGCTCCCGCCTGCGTGCTGCGTGCTGCGTGCTGCGTGCTGCGTGCTGCGTGCTGCGTGCTGCGTGCTGCGTGCTGCGTGCTGCGTGCTGCGTGCTGCGTGCTGCGTGCTGCGTGCTGCGTGCTGCGTGCTGCGTGCTGCGTGCTGCGTGCTGCGTGCTGCGTGCTGCGTGCTGCGTGCTGCGTGCTGCGTGCTGCGTGCTGCGTGCTGCGTGCTGCGTGCTGCGTGCTGCGTGCTGCGTGCTGCGTGCTGCGTGCTGCGTGCTGCGTGCTGCGTGCTGCGTGCTGCGTGCTGCGTGCTGCGTGCTGCGTGCTGCGTGCTGCGTGCTGCGTGCTGCGTGCTGCGTGCTGCGTGCTGCGTGCTGCGTGCTGCGTGCTGCGTGCTGCGTGCTGCGTGCTGCGTGCTGCGTGCTGCGTGCTGCGTGCTGCGTGCTGCGTGCTGCGTGCTGCGTGCTGCGTGCTGCGTGCTGCGTGCTGCGTGCTGCGTGCTGCGTGCTGCGTGCTGCGTGCTGCGTGCTGCGTGCTGCGTGCTGCGTGCTGCGTGCTGCGTGCTGCGTGCTGCGTGCTGCGTGCTGCGTGCTGCGTGCTGCGTGCTGCGTGCTGCGTGCTGCGTGCTGCGTGCTGCGTGCTGCGTGCTGCGTGCTGCGTGCTGCGTGGGAGGGGCCTGCGGTCATTTCAACACAGGCTGCTGCGAGTGTGTTGGACGCACGGTCCAGCCAACTCGGTGGCCGTCCGCCGGACCTGCTTGTGTAGGCAGCACGTGGGTCCCGTGAGCGGCAGCCACGTGTCCTGGTTTTCGCAGGAAGGTGCCAGTCACACAGCACCTGCTTCCTCGTCTGTCCCCTGCAGCACATGGCGAAGGCCAGTGCGGGAGACACACACCTGGGTGGCGGCCCTGCCCAGCCACCGCCCGGCCAAGGGACCCTGACGAGTCATCGACCCCAGAGCCTCCCAGTCTTCCTCACGGGGACGTCCAGAAGCCTAAAGGAGCTGACGTCCCCACCAGGAGTGGCTGGGTGACCCGCCCTGAGCTGTTTCTGTCACTGTCTTTTGCCCAAGAGAATAGAAATGACTCTAGGAGGAAACTGGACGCACAGTTGTGAACGGATGCCCGCGCCGAGGTGCGAGGCTCGGCAGCGGCCTCGTGGTATTGGGGTGGTACATCGTCCTGGTCCCGCTGAGACTGGGCGCTGGTGGGCCGGGCTCACGTCCTGCAGGAGAGCCTCGCGCTCCTACCCAGACCCCCAGCGAGCCGGTGGCAGCAGAGCCGCCAGTGACATACGGAGCCTTCAGGCCCCTTGCGGTCACCAGAGCCGCTCACTTCAGAGCCAGGCTGTTCGTTTATTTAACGACTGTGGTTTAGATTTTTCTTAAGGAACATTTAAGTCACACAGAGCTTTTGTTTTCGAAGGTCACAGAACTCATCATGAGACGTGGTGGAAGGAGCGGTCGGGTTGGGGGTGGCGACAGGAAGCGGGCATTCTGCCCTTCTAGGAAGTCTGAGTGCTGCCTTCCCCCGGCTGAGCCCCCAGCCCTGTCTCGGTGGTGGCGTGTCCCCAGCACCCGCCTACAGCCGGGCTCGCAGTCGATGACTCAGAGCAGGTTGGAGGGGGAAGGGCGAGTCACTCCCCCCCACACACACCCCCGGTTTCCAAGGTGACTTCCGGCTCCCAGTTCTGTGATTTAGTGCATAGTACGTGTCACCTGTGGTCAAGGCTGTCGTCTTGCCTGATGGCACGGGCTGGCGCCTGGCTGGTCGCACAGGGACACATGATGGCAGTTGCAGTAAGAGGCCGGCCGGTGGGGGCTGTCGTCTGCCCGTTAGGTTCCAGGTCCGTGCGCCTGGCCTCACGTGTCACGCAGCTTTTTAAAATTCATTTCCATGTGCTAAGTGTTGAGGGACCAGCAGCGGGGAAGCGTCCCTGGACAGCTGTGCTCGTCTGCTCGCTGCCCACGCTGGGTGGCGGCGGGCGTGCCCGTGACCGCCGCTCTCTTCCCGTGGGGCTGGGACGGTTGAAGCAGCAGGCGATGCCGTCACAGGCCTTATCAAGATGTCTGGCTTCCGAGTCCTGACTCCGAGCCTGCGTGGTAGGCGAGTCTGGAGAGCCGGTTGTCATGGCAGCTGGTACATCGTGAGCTCACATCACATTAGGGCCGGGCGTTCGCAGGGCGGCCATGGAGACAGAAGCCCCAGCATCGGAACTGCCAGGCGTGGTGCTGTCTGCGGGGCTGTCCCTCCTGGCCCGCCCACCTCCCGGCGGCCACAGGAACCAGGGAGGCCGTGTGACGTTACCAGCGGCTGAGGCCTCATCTCCTCTGCTCCGAGACCAGGCCCCTGGGTCCATGGAGAGCAGGCGTTGTGGGGTCACGAACCCCTCTGTCTGTCTAGCGAAGCTTATGGTTGGAACCTTTCCAGAGTATTTTTAAGGCACAGAACAAAATGCATAGGATGACGAGCCTGGTCCCTGTCGAGACACCGTCACAGAAACACCAAACAAACGGGTGACAAGCGCTGAAAAGGCGTCCTCATCACATTTAAGAACAAGGGACAGCAGAGGTCTAATAAATGCACTTTTGAAATAGCGGTGCGTTTACAGTGTACTTCGCGGTGTCCGTGCCGCTGTCCCGCGCCGTGAGAGTCGCCTGTTTTCCACGGGTCACAGGGTTTGCGAACACTGCTACGTTTCCCTTAGAGGTTAGTCCAAGGTCGCAGCCCCCTGAGCTCTGCATGGGTCCCAGGTTAAGATCTCCTGCCTCACAGGTACGTAGGGGACCGCCACCACCACCCTCAGGGCGGTGGGCGGGGCACTTTGACACTAGGGCCATTGCCTGGTCAGGACTGGTCCTGGGACACGCGGTGACCGGATTTGTGCCTCAGGAAGCCAGACCAGCTGCCCAGGTGAGGGCCGCGGTGGAGGGTGGGACGGAGGATGGACTATGGCTCTGTCTTGGCAGCAACACCGTGAACTCCAGACTCACCTGCCGAATTTGCGTGTCGTGCCCCCTGAGGCAGAGACAGGCCGTGGGGTCACTTGTTTCCCAAGGGCCATTAGCACGTCAGAAAGGACGGTCACATGACCCTGGTGAAACCAGCACAGTAGGGGTGGGGCATGGGAGGCAGGCCGAGAAGCGGGAGCAGCATCTGATCACCGCGGGGCTTGGTCTCCCCACGCAGCGGCTCCCGGGTCCTTGCAGTGGGCGGCTGGGATGGCCAGGGTGGGAGCGACAGATGCGGACAGGTAGTCCCCTCCCCGCCCTGGAAGGCACACCCCGTGTAGTCACTTGGACACTGGGCAGGTGACCAAAACCCAGCATTGCGGTCTATGGGACCCAGCACACGCCAAGGCTGGTTTGCTGTATGGGGGCATCAAGAGAGGCCAGTCCCCAAGCCCAGCCTTGAAATGAGAGCCCGCGGTGGCTCGGAGGCTGCTGACGTGCTGGGCAGGGCAGCAGGGAGGCAGAGGAGAAGGCAGGGCACGTCGTGTCCTTCTCCTTGGCTCTGTGGTGGGCGGGGCTTGCCAGCATCTGGGAGGCACTGTAAGCTTCTGTCCCACAGATTTTGAGGCCGGGGGTCGGGACTCAGGACCCTTGTCCCGTGCCTGCTCGTGCCGGCACCCAGCTGCCTCTCGGACCCTGAGCTCTTCAGGGGCAGGGTCGGTACAGGGCCTGGACCAGCGCTGGCCGGCCTGGGGTCAGACCTAGCAGGTCAGCCAGTCGGCCAGCTGGTCTGGAGGCTGAGACCCTGGAGGACGATGCGGCTGGGGCAGACGGGCAGACGTGGTGTCTTGAGCGCCGTGTTCAGTGTGTGGGTGGACGGGTGGGCCTGGCAGGTGGCGGTGAGAAGGTGCACAGCACGGGGGCGGTGGGTCGGCCCCGGGGGCCAGTGGGAGGCCGGTGGCGGGGCCGGGGCGGGCGTAGGGGCCCTGGCTGGCCACGGACACTGGCCCCCATGCGCCGAGAGCCTCGGGCTGACCCACGCTGTCCCTCCCAGGACGCGGGCACAGGTGCTCGTACTCAGCACAGCGTTTATTTTCTAAAGAGAAAATTAGGAAGCCGCCGAAATGGCATCGGCAGGTGACTCAGCAAGTCGCACAGT